TAGTTTTTTACTCATGATTCCTCTTAGTTGATAGTAGCTAGACATTGTTAGGAAAAGGCAGCTCTTTATTAGACTACCATTTGCTCATTCTATGATTTTTACTCATGATTCCTCTCGATTGATAATAGTTGAGCATGATCACTTTGTTGATTCTTATGGTCTATTCTATACACTTAATTTAAAGTTCACTTATATGCTTGTTAGATGGAAAGGCACTGCACCTAACTCAAGAAGTTTGAAGAATGCATTAAGATGAGAAGATAGGCTTCTAATTTCTGAAGGTAATTCTTTACCTAACCAATAGTTCTTTCAAAGTAAATATTTAACAAATAATATTTTGAAATTAATATAATGAATATTTTATTTTATTGTACGTAAATATTACCTTGTGGATACTGGCTTCATATTAACAAGTAGCCTTATTACACCTTATAGAGGAGTTTGCTATCATTTGAAAGAATATTCAAGCAATCCACCTCAAAATCATTAGGAATTGTTCAATTTTTGACATGCTCATTGCATAATGCTATTAAAAGAATTTTTGGGGTGTTTGAAAAAAAGATTCCTAATTTTATCTAGCTCGTCTGAGCCTACTTATGGTGTCAAATCTCAAACAATAATTATTGGTGCATGCTGCATCCTTCATAATTATTTGATAAGTGCAGATCTTAATGAAACTCTTCTACGTCAAGTGGATGATGAATTCATTGCTCAAAATGCACAAGCTAGTGATGATTGTGCTTCAAAGAGGGAGAGTGATAAGGCTACTAGGGATGGGCTTATAAGAGATATAATTGCTAACCAAATGTGGATAGATTATCAAAATTAACTTAGGAATAGACGTTTATGTATTTCTTGGAGTTAAGGCCTAGTTGATGTATTTCACTTGTATCCTAAAATGATGTGATTTTGTTGATATTTTGTTGTTATGCTCTATGATTGAACACCACATTTCCTATTATGATGAATGGACTTTTTTAGTCTCATTTTATTATACATTTATTTCATAGCTTACAATTATATAGTTAATTATATATGTTAACTATATAATTATGATTACAATTATATATTCTTAGAGGAGATTATAGTTATATATTGTAATTACAAGTTAACTCACACTATACTTTTATCGGTATTTTTTAATATAAAGGTATAATTGTCCATGATATTATTATTTTTCCTTCCCTCCCCTCCTAAACTAAATAAGGTAACATTAAATATTAAAATCCCTCCCCTTCCTTCTTCTCCATTAAAATCCCTCTCTTCCCTCAAATCAAATGAAGTGTTAGTGACTTGGGATAATGTTAAACATAGCAAAAAGGAAAGAGGTTTAGAGATTAAGGATTTGTGTAGACAAAATAAAGTTTCTATTATGAAACTTTGTTGGGTTTTGCTAACCAAGCCAAATGCATTGTAAGTTGAATGCTTGAGAGCTAAATATAAATGTGGGAAATAAATTATGCCTCTAGTTAGAAATTGCAAAAGAGAGTCATGTTTGGAAAAGTATTGTTAAGGCTTGGAAACTTTTCTCTAAAGAAGTAAGAAGGACAATAGGGAATGGCAGGACCATTAATTTTTAGGGGACAATCGGATAGGATGATGTAAGCCTTTAATTTATTTTGTCCTTACCAATGATAGATACATTAACCACTGAGCAAGGCTGGCTGATTTTGTGACTCAAGATGGTCAATGGGACATGAATATTTGTGAAAGTGTGTTGGCTCATTAGGTGAATAATGCTATTTTGAAACAACAAATTCCTAGGGGCACCCTTGAGGAATCTTTCTAATGGGCTCATACTTCTAATAGTAATTTCTTTGTCAAAGCTACTTATGAATTCCTTAGGACTTGGGTCCAAGGTAATTTCTAATGTTTTCTAGGGAAAAATTTTGGAATGGAAGATTCTTGAAAAACGAAAATATTTTCTTTAGCAAGCCAGTTAAAAAAGAGTTTTACTGTGTAGAGCTATGAAAGACTTGTCTATAAATAATAAATGTTCTTATGAGTGCAGTAGAGAGAGAGAGTGTCATACACTTTTTAAGAGATTGCAAAATTGCTTGGGAGTTGTGGCTTCATTGTATTAATCCTAACTTGGTCCAAAAATTTTTTTGGTTTATCTTTGCGATAATGGCTCAAATGGAATGCAAAATTAGAAGTTACTACAAGAGAATTTAAAAGGTGGCCTTAGCATAAACTTTTTTTTTTAATCTATTGGGGCATTTAGAAGGCGTGGTGCAAATTTATCTTTCAGGAAAAGATCATTTCCGCTGAGACTATCCTTCACATATGTAGATATGGTCTCTTGGAGGATGAGGAGGCACATTCATAGTGTCAAAGAATATTTTGTCTTCAACCTTATGGACAAGACACTTGGAAACCACCACCTCAAGACTTCCTTCCACTTGATATAGATGGCTCTATCAACTCACAAGGAAATGCAACTTGTGTAGGGGTTGCGTGAAATTCTAAAGGAGAATGGATTCTAGGATTTCTGGGAAGAGGTAATGCTACTAAAGCCAAACTGGAGAGGCTTAAAATGGGTCTTCAACTATGTAAAGATCTAAATTTGGGTAAGGTTAAGATCCACATTGACTTATTAGAAGGACTAAATTTGGTAATGAGAGTGTTCCCTAAGTCATCTTCTCGTGCCAATAGTTTGCCAAATACAGAGTTCTCTTTGTTATCTCAATGAAGTGGAAATAATTTTTTTAGGAAGAGAATCAATTTGTTGTGTAGATTTTCTTGCGAGGAATTTTCATGTTAAAACTAGAGGCTGCTGCATATTTTCATAGGCTCTGTCTTTTTGTCAAAAGTATTGTGAGCAAGTACAAAAGCTCTTGCTTTCATGTATAAAACAGTGTAACATGTCTTGATCCCAAGCTTTGGCTTGCCATGTGTAATTTTTTTAAAAAAAAATTGAACCCTACAATATGGCCATTTTCTATTCTGGGGGGGTTTGGTTGAGGCTTTGAACCAGGTAATATACTCTAAATGAGAATTAGAGATAATATTGTTTGAGACACGAGTCTGACATTAGGTGTGGGCATCTTTTTCAATAGAGACTCAAATATTAGTTCATCATATTATAAGAAATAATAACAGAGCCAAAACCCTAAGCCAAAGGGTGTAATATAATTTAATTTAAAAATCAATAATTTTTTTAAAAAATAATAATTACTCCATAACTAAAATTGTAATAACATAAATAGTTTGATCACTTTTCTACTTAAAAAATTATATTGAACATGTTGATATGGTCTTTTATCTTATTTTAAAATCATTAAAATATTATATATTTAATAAGCTTTTAAGCTCAATTTTTTTTTATTTAGTATAAGAAGGTGCAAAATATCAAAAGTAGGGAATGTAAAGTTGTAAAACTTACATGATCTACTTGTACTTTTTTTCCCCAAAGCCAGTGGCAATGCCAGGCCCTAAATCAAGGGGTGCAACATTTTAAAATTAATATTTTAAAAATAATTTGGTAATTTAAAAAAAAAAAAGAAGCATGTACATATCTCATAATTATACCCTACGTGACTTCATGTTTTGAAATCATCTCATTGTCAATAATGAGAAAAATATCTTTTTCAATATAAGTCACTAGATATTATTCATCAATGAATCTCTTATATGATTTCAAAATTAATTTTTCAATATTATTATAATCAGATTTTTTTTTGTTTTCTTTCTAATTTGGCAATTCGAAGTTATAATTTGCAAGCACACAAACTAACAAGCTACATGCATACAATTAGAGTCAGATTTAAAGATTCTAAAGCCCACGCTAAAAGACAAAACACAAGATTATAAATAATTGTTTATTTTACATGAAAATATGAATAGTCTGGCCAAAAAAGAAAGAAAGAAGGACACACACGTTAGTGATGTTACCAAGATAAGAATGGGATTGTTTTTAGTCAAAGTTGCTGCTTTATCTCCTCCTCTTTCTAATTTTTTATCTTTCTCACTCCTTTATTCAGCTTCAGCCCTCAGCATTCATCAAACTTAAGCACGAGCAGCACGTCTTCGAGACTTCGACCGATGCTTGAATGTTTCATTCTTCTTCTCTTCCCACGGCGAGATGCAGTGCAAACCGACGGCGACTTCAAGCTCTCTCTATCTCATCCTTCTATCTGCTATTATTAGGTTAGTTTTTCTCTTAGTCCTTAAAAAAAAATCAATTTATGTTATAATAAATTTATTTTTAAGAAAAATAAAAATAAAATTTGGGTTTAATGATTTAAAAATTATGGGTTAAATTTTTTTGGACTTGAACTAAATATATTTAAAAAATTTTAAAACCCAATCATTTTAAAGTTGGGCTAGAGGTACAAAATATTTAACTCAAAGGATGCAAAGTAGTAAAATCTATCACCTTTTATAATTTTTTCTAAAGTTAGGGGTGTATTCCCCCACCCTCAGGCGCTGCTAGTGCCCAAAGCCTCTTACTGTAACATGATTTTGCCATTGGTGAGGAACTAGCTACGAATGCCCTTTGTAATTGGTTTATTTCTTATTAGCAAGTCTTTAAAGAAGCAAATTCATGGGTCAATATAGATTAATGCAACATTCTCATTAAATGAGTAACTTCCTCTTATAGGGTGTAGGAACTTATTATTAGAAGAGAACATGTGTGAGGAACACAATGGTTGGAATTAATTTGATTTCCTTTTTTCAATTAAATTGTTGTATCATCACCCATTACCTTATTGTATAAAAAAGGAAGAATTCATTCAATGAATTATTAATGAGAGAAAGAGATAATAATTAATACAAAATCCCACTTTTTTCTCATCATTCCAAATTACAGGCAAAAAAGACAAGTTGGCTTTTGGTCCACACAGGTGGACAACACAATAGTCACTTCAATTAATTCCGACATCAATAAATGAATTAATGCATAAAGTTCACACTTTTTGCTAGCAAAGAAATTCCATTCACACACGCTTCCCTCCCTCTATCTATCTGCATATAATATAAATATATTATCATCTTGATCAATTCCTTCATGGTAACTCAGAAAGTGAGTGAAGATGGAGAGTTTAAGGAATATGTTGAAAGGGTTAAAACCAGCGGTGTTAATGGTGATGGTGCAAGTTGCATATGCAGGAGTGAATGTGTTGTTCAAACTCGCCATTAACGATGGCATGAGCATGAGGATCGCCACCGCGTATCGCCTTCTCTTCGCATCGGCCTTCACTCTTCCTCTTGCTTTGCTCTTTGAAAGGTTTGCTTTAATTTCTTTCACTTCTAAACCGAACTGGATAATGAGTCCGGTTCGTTACACAAAAAGTGAGAAATACGTCGTTCTGTTCTTATGAATAATTTGTTATAAATTTTATATTGTGAAGATGAGTTTTATCAAATTCCTCTTGATTTTTTTGTTTTTCTTTCTTACAGGAATAAGAGACCAAAGCTCACTCGGAGGCTAATGTTCATGGAATTTCTTTGTGGCTTGTTTGGGTATATATTTCTTTCTTATACCCTTCTGCATATTGCATCTTAATTGGGCATTCACGAAAAATAAATTTGACTATTAAGCAATAAATAAAAGAAGTGTGTGTTTTTTCTTTTTCTTTTTTTCCACCTTCTTCCCAGATTCTTTCCCTAACTTTGAACTAGATCAGATTTCTCTCTTCAAATGCACATAGAAAAAATACCTAATTTATGTGCTTTTTTATTTAATTTAGAAAGGAAGGTACTAATTAACAACATAAGATTATTAGTGGAATTGAACCATATTTATAGAAAAGCTTTCATGTCATTAGGTCACAGAATCATTGGCTAATTAATGCATGTGCTTCTGATAAGATATTTGTTTGTGTATTTTGTGTGTGTGTGTGTGTGTGTGTGAGAGAGAGAGAGAGAGAGAGAGAGAGAGAGAGAGAGAAGATTTTTTTTCCCTTTTTTTTTTATGAATGGCTTTTGGTGATCGTGAGAAGAGGGATAACTTTTACTCTAAGTGAATGGGATTTTGATTGAATTGATATATTTTCATTTTCTATATAAAAATATTATATGATCAATTATATTTTCATCAATTATAGATTAGTTTTTGATCGATTATACCAATCTTTTCAAGTTGATGCTGAATTTATATTGCTCCTGACCTGCATTAGGTCTTGATTTGCTAGTTTATCACTCAAACCGGCAATATTCAATTTTCACAATAGTGTACAAAATTAATTATATGATTTATGTATTTCTAATTATATGTTTCAGGGGAAGTTTATTACAAAACCTTTACTTCGAGGCTATGGCTTTGACATCGGCAACATTAGTTTCTGCTATCTATAACCTTATTCCACCTATCACTTTCGTCATGGCTATCATATGGGGGTATGCTTTATTTTTCTTAATAAATTATTAATTTTTCCTAAACAACTATATACTCCTTTTAGTCATTTTTATAATTAAGATGCTTATAAAAATAAAAAATAGAAATATTCCATTTTTGCCCTTAAATTTTAATTATACTCTTGAAATTTGAGAAAGATGATGACCTAGCAACCAAGCATCCCTCCCATGTCTTCATTGGCTGTATTTTGCATAATAATATCTACATCATTTTAATTAATAAGGGTATAATTTTAAAATTTGGATGTTTTTAACAAATAAAACAATATAATTATTTTTCTTAATTTATGTGAATAATTGTGTCAAAAGCCTTATAAAAAGAACCGAAAGGAATATATCATCATTCACACTTCTTTCTAAGATACTAATAAAAATATCATTTTAATTAGTCCATAAAAATATATCTTTCTTTTAAAATGGTTCCGAAAGTCTACAAAAAAATAATAATTAATTTTTATACAAAATATAGAGCCATATTTGAATATTATTAGAAATTTCTGTTATTTGAATAATATATATACAGAGTTGTAATTAATTAATTTAACACATATTGCTAATTTTGTTTCTCTTAAAATGTACAAAGCTTAGAGAGATTGAACTTGGGAACAGCAGGAGGGAAAGCAAAGATACTAGGAACTATAATAGGCCTCAGTGGGGCAGCACTTCTCACATTCTTCAAAGGTTTTGAAGTTCATATCTGGCCCTCCCAAATTAACCTTTTACACCATGACCAAAACGAAATCGTATCACCTGCTGATCACTCAGAGAAACAAAGATTGTTAGGTGTTCTATGTTCCATCTTGAGCTGCTTCTCCTTTGCTTTTTGGCTTATTGTTCAGGTAATTAATTAAGCTATTTGATGCAAAATGGGGGAAGGGGAAAGGGAGAAGAGAATACAAGCCCAAATTAATTATAATTTATTTGCATGCGTCGTTTTGATGTGTAGTTCACAGCTATATGTAAATTGTCGTTTTGATTATTTATGGCCCTTAGGCACACATGGGTGAAGATTGCCCGAGCTATCTGTCTAGCGCAGCTTTGATGTCTATAATGGGAGCAATACAAGCCACTTTGTTTGCTCTCTGTGTTGATAGAGATTGGGACAAATGGAAATTAGGTTGGAATGTTAGGCTTCTCACCGTCTCCTATGCGGTATGATCAAATCTGAATTTTCTCATTATATATGTTACATTATATAGTTTATAAAATACTTTTAAAAGTAATTTGGTGTTTCAAAATTTAAAACACTTTAACAAAAATAAATTTTGTTAATTATACGTGTTCCAATATATTGTTCATTCTTCTTTATTAAATTTTTTTTCTCTATTTAATATTTCACAAATAAAGTTACATTAAATAAAGGGTATTTGGAAATCTATATTTGTAATTTGAAAAAGTAAGATTATAAACATATTCAATAAACTTTATTGATGAGTATAATTTTATCCAAAAAAATGTCGTATAAACTGAGAAAGGAGGGGTATATAACTTTGGTTGTGAATTACTAGTAATTCGAGATAACTAACCTACTCAAGAATGAGATTGTTTCCCAGTGTTTTGATCCTTAAGAATCATTTTAAAAATATAGACATCTAAAGATAATAGTAAGAAGCTTGAGAGAAAGAAAAGATACATTCAAGTAAGAAGCTAGAGAGAAAGAAAAGATACATTCACTTGATATTATGGGTACCACATTCTCATATCTCGTTCTTTGTCGTAGGGGGTCTTTTGTAGTTATTAGGAAGAATCTAAATCAATTATTAAGACAAATGTACAATTATTTATGCAGGGAATTGTGACATCTGGATTGGTGGTGATGATAATTGCATGGTGTGTGCAGATGAGGGGTCCCTTGTTTACATCAGTGTTCCAACCTCTAATGCTTGTAGTAGTGGCCATTGCTGCTTCTTTGACCTTGAATGAGAAACTCTATTTAGGAAGGTACACATAGCCAACATCATCAAATCTTATTATTTTTTGTCATTCTTTAACTTTATAAAAAATTTTAATTTTTTATCTCATAATTTTATAAAGTATATTGTTAACTTTTTAATCTTAATATTACTAGTTTTAAATAATTATTTTTTGAATAATTATTATTGTAAAAAAATTTTATATTATTTTATTAATATTTAAAAATTTAATGTAAAAAATTTTTGTGAAAAAATTAATGATATTAGGATTAAAAAACTCATAATATACTTTAAAAATTAAATAATCAAAATAAAATTTAGTATAAGATTAATTAATGTACTTTAATTTTTTTTTAATAAATATTGAAAGCTTCGTTCAATCATGAAGAAACTTGTGGGTGTGTTGTGGGGCCAGGGGCATTGCCTTGAATAATAAAAGGTGCGGGTCCACATTGGTCGCACATGAGTATGGGTCCCACATTTTCTATTTGTGAGAACTGAGAAGGTAATATCTTGAAATTAAAAAATGGACATTGATTCTCTATGTTACTGTTCATACCATCTCTTTACATTTTTTCACAAACAACACTTTAAAAAAGTTATAAAAATATAAGGTAAAAGAAAAATCTTTGATTATGTAGAAGGGTAGTCTGAAAAGAGGTACTAGAGAATCAAGGTCTTGGAAAAATAGTGGAAATGACCAAATCATAAAATTAAATTGGGGTAAAGAATTTAAATTGCAGAAGAAATTAAGAAGAAAAAGTGAAGAATCATGCAAGATATAAAATACAGATTACGAAAGTAAATTTGTAGATTTTGCATTAGATCCTTTTCTCTAATTAATTTTCTGATGAGGTCTTTTCCCCAAATTTTCTTAATTTCTTACTGTGCAGTACGTGTCATAAAATCGTTGCAAATATTTTCGGATAAATTTCACAATTAATGGACACATCTTACAACCTCACTAAAATATCCTGCCAATGCTCCTATTTTTACAATGGAATAACTACTGTTGTGTATTATATATATATATATATATATATATAATTGTATACTGTATATCATCAAGTAGGTATGAAGATTGATTAATTATGTTTTTTAATGTTGTGCAGTGTGCTTGGATCATTTCTGATAGTGTGTGGGTTGTACATTGTGGTATGGGGTAAGAGCCAAGAAATGAAAATGAAGACTGAGTTGGTCCAGTCAAAAGAAGACAGCAAACAAGAAGATCAACCTGAGCCAATACTAGAAGTTGTTGTGTTCAATAAAGTTCATGCTGGTTCATCATGAACTGAGCATGAACCTCTCTCTCTCTCTCTCTCTCTCTAGATCTCCCTCTCCATATATAGGCAATATATTGATCTCTCTCTGGGCAATAACAATGTTGAAGAGAGCACTTCAAGGACCAACAGTGTTCTTAGAAGGTTTCTGTGTTTAGATAAAACGAAGTAATTTATTATTAGAGTGGGTATAAGGAGAGGAGAAAAGAGACAATATGCTTGTCTTTTTAGTTTCATTTTTATTTAATTGACTTTAAAAAAAAAAACATCTTTCTCATATTTTTTATATCATATCAAACATGATGGCAGTAATCGACAATTTATTCAAGGAAAAATTATTCACATGATCAAATTTAAAAACTATTTATCCTTAAAGATCAAGTTGAAATATTTAATTATAAAAATTTATTAGTTTATGTTCAAACATTTAGCACTCAAGATCTTTGAAAATAAATACTCCTTCCGTTTTAAATTATAAGATATTTTTAGACAAAATTTTACATATCAATAAACCTTATTAAATACACTTAACAACCTTATCTTTTCAAAATAAAAATATAAACTTTCAAACATACTTATAATTTAATATATTGAAAAGAGAAAGGATATAAATTAATTATAGAAAGAACAAAAGGTAATATTAGAATTGGCACATTTAATAAAATTTTAATTCATTCAAAGTATTTTATATTTTTGAGATGAAAAAACTCATTCAAAAGTGCCCTATAATTTGAGACGGAGGGAATAGTTTTTTTAAAAAAAAATTTAACATGATCCTTGTAAATAATTTTATTTTTATTTTTTTTCCATTTACAGTTGTATAACCGAACCATGTGGTATAATCACATGCATGTTGTCACCTTTGGCTGTTTCAGCGGCGGAATAATACGTGAGCAAGCCGGGGGCATAATTATATGAAATTTACAAATAATAAAAAATAATTTAATATTTATAAAATAAATATTTGATTTTTTAAAATAATATTAGAAAAGGAAAAATTAAAATAATATTTTTATAAAAAATAATTTAAATTTAAATATAATGTAATTAAAATTTAAAATATATTGAACTTGAGTGAAATATAAATGACCCCAAAAAATTTTAAAATCAAATATATTTCAGTTTAGATCTAGTGGGTTCAAAATTATTAAAGTAATGAAGGAAAATTTTAAAAATTTAACCTCTTTCTTGTAAATTTTTTTCAAGTTGAGTGGGGCATTTGCCCACCCTCAACTATGTTTGCATACACCATTGGCTGTTATGTAGCAATACATATATAAAATTTAAATTTTTCTTAAAAATCTTTGTGATATGAAAAAAAATTGAATAAGATACAAATATTTATATGGAATAAAAAAAATGTTTACCCTCAAACTATTTTTTATAACTATATTTTCGATGTTTTGTCAACTAAAATCAATAATTACCCTATATTCCTTCAATAAAACGCAATAATTATATGTAGGGCTGCACAAAAGACTGGACGGCACTGGACTTCACCCTAACCCGAAGTCCGGTCTCTTTCATGAAAAAGACTGGGTTAGGCAACCCGTAGTCCAGTCTTGTCCAGTAATAACCCGAAGATTAACAGGACCGGACTTGGTCCATAGGACTGGGAGACTGGTCCTGTCAGTCCAGTACTCACTTAGCTTTTTTTCCCTCTTTTTATTCTATGAGAGGCAATAATTCATTCCAACATAATAAACTCAATTAAGATAGTAAAAATACTTATAATAATAATAAATCCATAATAATTTCTAACAATAAGAAAAAAAAATTTTTGTTATAGTCTAAATTATTTAAATTTATAAACTTTAATAAAACAGTACTCAAAAAATTCAACAACACTATATTACAATAACAATTTAGAAACAAACTTAATAAATCTTTATGCAATCATCTCCTTAGCATCAATTACACTTTAAACATTTGTCAAAAATAAATTAATTATAATTATAATAAAAAAAATTAATAGGACTGGACTGGACCAAGTGGTCCGGATGCCTGGTCTCTTGTCCAGTCCAACCCGAAAAAATAGTCTGGTCTTTTTAGTCCTTTTGGTCCTGAAGGACCAGTGACTATACAGACCGAACAAGACTGAGACCATCTCGAGTTGGACTGGACCAGACAGGACTGGGAGACTTTTGCACAGCCCTAATTATATGATAACCATCAGATATCAGGTTCGACCCTTGTACTTTGCGTAATTCAACCTAGCTACCCTTGGTCCCTTGTTATAATTATATGTTTTCAACTAGTATATATCAGTATATTACTGTGTAAAAAAATTCTACTTTTATTTTTTTTACCATAGTTGAATTTCTTTTCCAGAAAAAAAAAACAGAAATCATCACAAAATTTATCCCAGTATGGAGACAACAAACAATAATAATAATAATAATAATAAATTGAAAGCGCGTAGATCTGTGTGAGTTGATTTTTTTTTTTTTTCTTCCCCTTTAAAATGATGAAGCCATTAATATGGGGAAACCTAGCAAAAGGGTCAAAACCATAGAATGAGGCACCACAAAGAGAAGTCAATAATGGTGGCCAAGTGATATGCATATGCGAACGCTAATGGATTAGACACGTGCTTCCTTTGAAACTAGTGCTCATCCTCATCTCTTCTTCAGATCCAGGACCAGGACCAGCCCCCCCCCCCCTCTCTCTCTCTATAAATATATATGTCTGTGTACGTTAGGGTTAGAGATTGATCAGAGAAATTAGGAAAGGAGAGGAAGAAGAAGATGAAGAAGATGATAGTGGGAGTGATGATTCTGATAGTGATATGCTCTCATCATATTGAGATTGTGGAGCCCTCTGCTGCTGATTGTCTTGATGCTTGTCAAACTGCTTGTGTTCAAAGAGACAGTAAGTCTACCTTTTCCCATCTAATTTATTTATTAACTTCTATATCTTCTATTTAATTTTTGTTCTGTAGAGAGAAATAACAAGAGAAACAAATTGATTTTTCGGTCCTAAATAATGGATTTATTTATTATTACAAATAAACCACCGCAAATTTGTTAAGTGCTCTTAAAGTTCTCAGAATTTGGTTGTAATTAATTAATTTTGTCAACTTTTGTGAGAAAAATAACAAGAGAAACAACTTCGTTTTTCTTTCCTAATCACGAGATTCGAACCTTTACCTAACTTAATTGAGATTTTTCTACTCAACGGAGTTATCATTACTCTTCCGGTCGACATATTTAAATTTAAATTATAAAAATACTATTCATGTCCTTAAAAAATATAAGGCATTTTTTAAGGAATTGAATGTTTAAAATATAAAGTATTTTTAGTATTTCAAAGTGTGGTTAATGTTTTTTTAAAATAACCTTAATAAATAAATTATTTTATATTTCTTTTTAAATAAATTACCTTATTAAATAAGAGTAAACATAAAAAGATATTATTAGATAAGAGACAATTAACTAATTTATTAGGGGTAATATTTGATTAAAAATGACTTACATTTTTTTAATTGAGAGAGTAATTAAAATAAAAATATATTTATTGAATATATAGTATTTTTTTTTATTTAATACTCTCTCTGATTTTATTTATAAGTCACTTTCAACATATTTTACCAGAACTAATGAAAACCTTAAACATCATTACAATTTAATAAGTTTTCACATTTATCCATAATAAATATTATTAAATTTTATTATTAATATTTTTATTCAAAGTATTTAATAAGGATAAAAATGTAAAGAAAAGTGTTAAAAATTGATAAGTGCTTTATAAATATGATTAAATTTTTTTCTCCCTACCTTATAAATAGGATAAAAGGAATATTAATATTTAATTATTTTGATTGACAACGCAGCGAGGCTCATGCAAAGGTGTGAACGCAAGTGCCAAATTAAATGCGGACCAGGTAATCAGCCTAACTCCATGTTCTTTTTCTGTCCAAATTAAATGAGGCTTATGTAAAATGCGGGCCCATGATATAATTTTCCAATTAGTTTAGTTAATTATTACTAATAAGACTTTCAGATTTATATAAAAGAAAATATGTAAATGGACTATTAGGGTGAATTCCTAATAATTTTTACTGAGTCAAAATATAACTAACTAAATAGCAAGTTGTGTTATTTACATATAATATAAATTATAATATTTATTCACCAAAATTTATAAAATACTAGGAAAATGTATCTATAAAACATATTTATAAATGAAAAAGGGCATTAACAAAATTTTACTTAATTTGATTATGCGGTTTGTATTTTACGGGGTTTAATAATGAATCAAAGTCTTTATAGTTTACAAGCAACATTATTTCATAAGTATTTAGTATGAGGATATATAAATACTCCGTCCACCTCAATTTATAAGAGGTTTATAGGAAACGATGAAAGAAAGAGTAGTTTAATTTATAAGGGATGATATATTTTTTAGTTTCAATATTTTCTCTCAATTATCAATTTAATTTTTAAACTCTAAATCATTCATTGTAGCTCATCAAAAAATTGTAACAGTTAAATTGTTCTTAGCAAAAGAAAAATATTGGGCCTATTGTTAGAGTTAAAGACTAAATTGTTAGTAGTAATTGATCCTAATTGTTCTTCACCGTCATTGCTACGGCACAAATTGAACACCACCACAAAAACATGCGCCAAAATCAAAATCCTTGCCCCCCCAAAAAAACACACACCCAAACACACCCTCCCCCAACAAATGTTGGGAACATGAAAACCTCTCACAAACGAAAAGGAAAGAAGCTCTTTAAACCAAAGAATGATAACATGGGCAACATAAACACCATCCTATGAATTAAATGTAAGCAGCTGAAAAATGGACAATTATTATTACTATCTCTTATTAAAGTTTAAATTCACATATAGTCAAATCAAATTCATTCTATATGTAGATATATAAACATATGAAAGATTTATTTTGAGTTAGACTAGCATCACTATCACTATAGTCACTATGTATGGTTTTTGGGAATGATAAATAGAATTTATATTTATCAAAAAAAAAAAAAATTGACTTGAAGTTGTATGATTTGCCCTATGCAGATTCTGAAGCTCAGAAATATTGGGGTTGAGGGAACAAAGCAACACTTGACGGGCCTATCACAGAAAAACAAAAACTTCATGGGCCATAAAAAGGCTTCAAGCCCAAGAATTCTTTTTAGTTGTTCCGAAAAACAACTTTTTTAACGTCATCT